GGGAATATACATTTAAGGATCACTCCCCTGGGCGATGTGGGATGTCACACGGTATGTTTAGTCTTCATGTTTTCATTATATTCTAATACATTATAATCTATATGTCATTCTATTTTTCAATTTAGATATCACAATGCAAAGTATAAGTACGCACTTATTTATATAATATATAATAAATTTACTTAAATTTGCTTAGTTTGCTTAGGTTCCTACTAATTGCCTAGACTCTAAGGGCTTACTGTCCGATTAGCACCTAACGTCTTTTAAAATTTTGTAAAATAGTCATTAAACCTGATTCTTGACAATAAAATCGATAAAAATATTTTCTAAATTTATCTGCCGTCTATTATTTCAATTTTATATAAAAATCTGTCAATATTCACACGTAACCACATAGTTATCGACAATCAATAATCGGACAAGCTAACTGATTAAACAGTGTGAATATAAATCCATTTTCAATTTTTCACACAGAAAGTTGGTAAAATTAGAGATGGCCACCAGCTTTTCAAAATCCAAATTAAGTTGGGCCCCTGTCCCAATCCACTTCCCAATGCTCTTCAATCGTTACGTCACCAACCCTCTCTCTCTCTCTCTCTCTCTCTCTCTCTCTAGATATGTTGCTAAATAAAGTCCATCTCCCACTTTCACTTCCCACTCGTCTCTCCGAGCAGCTCAGCCCTCTGCTTTCTGCAAAAATGGCTCAGAAGACGCTTTTCTACTTGGCCGTTTTCTCAGCATTCTTCACGTTCACTTCACTCTCCCGCACCCTACCCGAATCCGAAACCGCCACCTTCCTCGACGTCTCCGCCTCCCTCCGCCAAGCCCACGCTGTTCTCTCCTTCGACCCGGAGTCACTCCAACCGCTGGAATCCCAATCCCAGGAATCCCAACCCCTCAACTCTTCCGCCTTCTCCCTCCAGCTCCACCCCCGCGACGCCCTCTTCAATTCCCAGCACAAGGACTACAAATCCCTCACCCTCACCAGACTCGGCCGCGACTCGGCCCGAGTGAACTCGCTCCACACCAAGCTCCAGCTGGCCCTCCAGGGGATAAAAAGAGTGGATCTCGAGCCCATGCACACCGAGGTCCAATCCCAGGACCTCTCCACCCCCGTCGTCTCCGGCGTCAGCCAGGGCAGCGGCGAGTACTTCTCCCGGATCGGCGTCGGGACTCCGGCGAAGTCGTTCTACATGGTGCTCGACACCGGCAGCGACGTCAACTGGCTCCAGTGCGGCCCCTGCTCCGATTGCTACCAGCAATCTGACCCGGTTTTCAACCCGGCCGGATCTTCCACCTACAGCCAGCTCACTTGCGATGCGTCGCAATGCCAGGCCCTCCAGGTGTCCGCCTGCCGCGCCAATAAGTGCCTCTATCAGGTGTCGTACGGCGACGGATCCTACACCATCGGCGATTACGTCACTGAAACGCTGTCGTTTGGGAACTCGGGCTCGATTAACAAAATCGCGTTGGGATGCGGACACGATAATGAGGGATTATTTGTCGGGGCCGCCGGGTTGTTGGGCCTGGGTGGCGGGCCCTTGTCACTTACCTCCCAGTTTAAAGCGACGACGTTTTCGTACTGCTTGGTTAACCGCGACTCGTCCGCGTCGTCGACTCTCGAGTTCAACTCCGCCCCACCAGCTGATTCCGTCACGGCGCCGCTAATCAAGAGCGGAAAAGTCGGCACATTTTACTACGTGGGGCTCACCGGATTCAGCGTCGGCGGCCAACCGGTCTCAGTCTCGCCGTCGCTCTTCGCGGTGGACGATTCCGGAAACGGAGGGATCATTGTCGACTCGGGGACAGCCATAACTCGGCTGCAGACTCAGGCTTACAACGCGCTCCGCGACGCATTCAAGAGGCTTACTCGGGACCTGCCGACTGCGAGCAGCTTCTCGCTGTTCGACACGTGTTACAACCTGTCGTCGCGGACCAAGGTGCAGGTCCCAACGGTGTCGTTTCAGTTTTCCGGCGGGAAGTCGTTGAGCCTTCCCGCGAAGAACTACTTGATTCCAGTGGACTCGGCGGGGACGTTTTGCTTCGCTTTCGCGCCGACGTCGTCGCAGCTGTCTATCATCGGGAACGTGCAGCAGCAGGGGACACGCGTCAGCTACGATTTTGCGAACAAGCGCGTGGGATTCTCGCCAAATAAGTGTTAAGAAAAGTTTAAAACAATATGGTCGGACTCGGGTTTTTTAGGTAATAGGTTCGGATCGTGACATGAAATTAATGTACGACAACCAGCTATTTTATCCCTTCATAAATTTTATAAATGGTAAAGAAAGTAACCGTATATTTGGTATTGTGGGGTACTGAAATACGAACGCGGTCTAACCATTTCACATGTGGGAGAGTTGCATCTACTTCGATATCAAATGTTTGTAACCTTACTAGTTCGCTGATATTTACGAGTAATTATTTTATGTATCATAATATGAGTGACAAATTAGTTGACACGTAGTATAATTAGTTTATTTATTAACAAGAGTAAGTTACGTGACTGTAGTACTAAAAAGTAAAAGACGTTACATTAAAATTGTGTTTTGAGTAGTGTGCCTCTTTTTTAGGGGTTTTAGCCGAGAAATATAGTTGAATTGTTGGCGTGGCCCGGGTCGGCCTGATTTTCGGTCGGATTCGGATCTGAAATACATGCTTTCAACTTCAAACTAAAAAGCTTCAAAAATGCATATCAATTTTAATTTTGAATCGGAATTGCAATGGCATACGGAATTTAGTACTTTTGGAATCGGATTAATTCGGAATTTCAAAGTTATGGATTTTAATTGGCCTCAAACTCTCTTTTTTTTTTTTTATGTAATATATTCAAGGAAGTGTAATTGAAAAAATAGTTACATATTTGAGCACATTAAATTACAAATCCAAAGCTAATGAGTATATAATTAAGTTATGCAAGTTTCGCAAACTCAGATCGGACTTGGAATATTAAATACTTTCCAATTTTTGTCCAAATTTTTTTGAAAATTGTATGTCAAAATTTCAGTTTCAGTACATCGAATGAAATATCTGACTTAAAATAGGTCGAAATCGGATATTTTTATCCAAGTTGCACACTGTGGGTCTTCAATGTGTTCACAAACATATCTCTAGTCCGAGGGAGAAGAATTATCTTCCCTCCTATTCTCATTCCCTTTTCTTTTCTCTTTTTATATATTGTTTTTTGTCTTATTGTTTCTATAAAAAAAATCAATATAAAATTTAACATGACTAAACCGTAGCCGTTCAAATAGAAGAGGATAGAAAGGGAAAAAGATTAGAAGGGGAGAGAATCCTCCTCTCAATTATAGAGCTATATTACGCCGTACAATAGTACCAAACTGGGGAATACGTTGCAACAAGCCTGCATGTCTGCCACGTGGAATTGTATTTGTTTGTTTGTTTAAATTTCATATTTTGATGGTGCCGTGTTCCCATCTCTGACTGTTTGTTTTTGCATGTGATTTTTGGAGCGTTTATGTCTGTGACTCTGGTGGGGACCGGATCACATGGATCGTAGGGTCCACTTTTGGAAGTGGACGACAACGTCGGTAATAACCTCCTATGGAAGTAGTGGAAGACAACGTCATTGTTTGACGGTGATGATGGTTACACTGTTATACTACTAATTCACGTGTTATAATATAAGGTTCGTAATTAGAAAACTTGATCGGTGATGCGTCGTGCTTGTTTAGCACGTCTTGGAGGCTTGGGGTCGTGATATCGGCGGAGAAAAATTTGTATGATATTATGTTATCGAGCAGGAGCTGTGTATTCATTTTAGAACAACACTGGACTACTCAAAGACGAGTAGAAATTTTACTCAAAATCCTTAGTGTTTGATCACAGAGCTTTGTGCTTATGATCAGAAACGTTCGTATTATGAATTACATTGTAAAAATCATATCTGCAAAAACTGAATTAAAATTAAGGTCCTTTAGTCAATTTATTCTAACAAATATATAGGCGGCTCTTAATGCTTTTAACAATTTCATTCATTTGTTTTTATACAGTTCGATAACTAAACAATATTAGTTTTAATTAATTTTTTGCATAAATGATTTTTATAAGATGATTTATAACATAAACAGTTTTAATTATAAACACGAAATTTTATAAATAAGCAATAATTAATTTTAAATAGATATTCCCGTGATTCTTTGGATTTCATTTTACGTAAGTTGTTTCCGTGATTGTCGGCAGCTGCTCTTTCTGGTTGGGGCCCGTGGCTTTTGTTCAGACGAATGGAAATGCATCTACTTGAACAGCAAAAATCTACTATACAGAGAGCCAAATTTCAACGTAATTAAATTTATTATCTTTTTTTGGTCAATCAACTTTAGATTGTGCTAATCATAACTGATTACCAAATACCAATCAATTGTTTTTTTTTTCAGAAGTCAGAAGTTGGAAAATTATATACTTTTTGCAAGAAAATAACTATTTCTTAATATTATTTTGATGATTAATTAGTGAAATGGGAGATTAAGGAACTAGTTAAAGTACCCAGATATTTGAAGATATTCGGGCTTAAGACGCACCTGCCTAATGATTATAGTCATCTACAGTTATTGGAGGCTCCCCAGACCCCTGCAGAGAAAAACCCTTTGAAGTTTTATTCGAGTAATTTTCTGATTTAATCACAATTATAAGAATATAATTCAAAATTTAATTGCTGAAGAGAAGCATACTGTTATATTGTAATTATTAATTTTTTTTCAATTCATCCTATTTGACTACAAAAAAGAACGTGAGAAGTAAAAATAAGTACTTGTCTTTACTCTATTTAAAGCATAGATCAAACCACGAAGACTCACAGAAGGTAGGTGAGTGGTCCAAAAACTAATGAAATTACTTGGACCTCTTCACATAGAGAAGAATTGGTTCACCGTCGTGATGTTTCAATCTAATTATCAGAAACGTTATGTAGCGATAAACCTGTTTCATGCAAGATTTTCCCCACCTTCACATGTCATGCCTTTAGTTGAGATGAAAACCCAAAATGTTGGAATGTTTTGAATTTGAAAAGCTTAATTGTGTTTGATGAGAAAACATTCAGACTACATAAATTGCATAGATCCAAATATGTAAAACAAAAAATGGGAAAAATATAAGTTGCTAATTCTCAAGTATGATGTTCTTATCAAATGTATAGCCGCAGCTGCACTTTCAGCGAGAGGATATCGGAACCACTCTGGACTGCATAATCCTATGGGGGCTCTGTATAATTCTTCAGGCAGCGTTTGTGAGTCGGCGTCACCACCAGATAACAATGCAAGTAATGATTGTCCGCCGGAATGAGAAACCTTGAAGTAATATGATTCTCAAGATAACAAATGAAGCAATTTAACCGCATTGTTCCAAGGGTTTGGCAGTATTAACGAATGTTGCGCTTTTGTTGAACCCCTCGAGCAAAAGAATACGCACCGCTTCTACACCATCTTGAAACGTAAAATTCAACTGAAAAGCATTTCTAGTAGTTAGAATCACCGATTAATCTATACATAAGCCTCTCTAGAGATTGCATTAGAAACTTTACAAACCTCGTGTTGTTCTTGTTTAGTAAATGGACGAAGAACAAAGTTGACAGGATCCATTTTCCCAGGAGGACGTCCAATGCCTGCAGAAATTTCACCAATTGAATGAATTTTTTTTACACATTTTAGTTCGTTTTCCCTAATGCGTAATATATAAAGAAGTATTAGGGAAACACTTTTGGTGGTCTAGGGAAAGTACCGATTCTTAAGCGAGGAAAATCTCGACTCCCTTTAAAGTGATCAATGATACTCCTCATCCTGCAAGAGAAAGCAGATGACAGGAACCAGTCAAGAGTCATTATGCCATTTTAAATATATTTTCCTTAACGTACCGAGTTAAATCTAACAGGCAGACTACTACGATGGCATTGTATATTTACCCATTGTGTCCTCCGTGTCCACCTTTTGGCAACATCCGCAGTTTTCCAAAGGGAAGATCTAGATCATCAAATATCTGAAAACGGGAACCAAAAACTTAAGGCACGGCAGAGAAACAGGACACTCTGACTCGGAGAAGGAAAATGAGGTAAAAAGAGAGAGATAGAATAGTAGTGATTAAGTAAAGGAGAGAAACTGCACCACAAGTACTTGCTTCAATGGAATCTTGTAATATGAAACAATCGATCCAACCTTCAACAAAGGGTCCAATTACCAACCAATTATCTACGAAACACATACAAGTCTCAAGACAAATCCTGGGATAGCTTACTTACAGACTCACCGCTTTTATTCATGTAAGTTTGTGGCTTGGCAAATATAACCGGAACATCGCCAATAAGGCCTGGAAAATATGAAAACAAAGCTCTATGAAGATTATAACTTTCCCTAACAATTGGGGATTTTGGAAACAAAGTAAAGAACCATTCATCCATAAGCGCTGTAAAGCAGCCACAAATTCATAAACAAAATGAGGTCGTAAATGGTAGAGACTTAAGAAAAGATACATGCAGAAAAATTATGCAAAAGTGAACACGATCAAACAATTTAGCGAATTTAGTTGCGGCCCTCGCGGGTTTGGTTTAGTAACTACATGTACAATCAATCAAACAATATTTCACCAGATGCAGATAATCACACAAGTAGAGAAAATTGAATCAACACAACAAACCTTTTCCAAATGCAATCTTTTAAATTTGAAATAGATAACCAAATTTAGAGCAAACAAACCTTTTCCAACAAGGGCTTTGAAAGAAACACTGCTCAAAGGTATCCCTTCAGCTTCAGCTATGGCATCTACCATCTCAAAACCCACCTGCAAAACAGCACCACCATCATAAATTGCAAGATTTTGGATTTTAAAATTTACGAGAAATTAGCAATTGGGTTATCAAATAATCAAGATTTAACACAAGTATGAGGATCAAAGTATTGAAATTTTTGTGTCAATTCCAAAGAGGGCCATACGGACATTGTGGCGGGTGCTGTTGTACTTCTTCCCGGGGTTTCCGAGTCCGACGATGAGCCACGGCTGCTTGGGCGGCTTCTTGGTTTCGACAGGCGCCGTGTCCGACCTCACTGGCGCCGCGGATGCGGCAGAGGGAGATGGTGATGATGAGAATTGGGACATTATCTGAAGCGACGGAGATCGAAGTAGGGGTTTTGAGAAGCGGAAGCAGCGGTGGCAATTGGGGAAGCGGACGGTGGCGATGGATGATAGGGAAGCAGCAACGTTCATATTTTTTTGTGTATAATTTGTTATATAAACCTATAATTAGCTGAGGGTTTTGAGAAACAGAGGTATAAACCCTACGGCCAAATTGCGAGGAAGAAGATGAGGGGGTAGAGCCTCTCAGCCGCGGATTTAGATTTTAGAAGTACCTTTTTTTTTAAACACCAAAAAATAGTACAATGGATACATTGGATAGTTAAAAAAAAAAAAAAATATTAATGAAACTCTCTCAAAAGTGGAACTCTTTGCAGTTTGTACCTCACTTTTTTTACACAATTTTCGTATCAACATTATAAAACATTGTAAAAAAAAATGTGAAGTTACGGAGAATTTCACTTTAAAATAATCTCATTAACATCTCATTAACATCTCACACCAAAAAAAAAAAAAAATTGTTATATACACACCTCGCATTTTGTTGACTACATCGCACATATCTAATTCACAACATATCTACCTTTTAGGTTAAATTTATTTTAATATACTTCACATACTTTTAAAAACTTATATTCCAATACTACTCTCACACCCACACTCTTTATCAATTAAATTTTGGGGTCTTTTCATATGGATCCAAAGTAACTAAAAATTGGACCTATTTCAAAAGTAAAAAATCACTAAAAAATGGATCTATTTCAAAAGTTGGTCTATAAAATTGAACCTATTTCAAATTTTTCCTTAAATTTTTAGGACTTTGTAGTATTTTTCTATTCGATTTTCAGCACATCTAGTATTTTATCCATTTGAGGGTTTAGTTTTCTATAATTTCGGGGTTTCTCTTTACTGATCTTGATTAATGACGTATCTAATCTTCACTGTCGAAGATGTTTGAGTTTTCAAGGGATGGATGGAATTGTGTGATTATTCTAAGCTTTTTTCATGTTGCGGTTATAAAATAGGGAAGTGTGACATGATTATGGAAACTGGGATGCTTAAGTAAGTTGTAGCGCAAGTAAACCAGAATTAGTCAAGTTTGATCCACCTTCAATCGATTTTTATGTCTAAAGAATTATTGTGAAAATATTACTTTTTGTAAAGCTTTTAGCTATTAAAAGTTATTCACTCAACTAATTTGATTGATTTTAACAATTGTTACTCTCTAAATACTGATGCTGCTAGATTGCCTCATGATAAGATAAGTTTCCATATATAAGTTTTTTTTTTTTTTTTTTTTTTTTAACGATAGTATCTACAATAAAGGGTTGAGGGAGTGGGCTAAACCTCACAATGAGTCTGCCAGAATAATATGGTTTAACTTCGCCTTTAGTGATGATCAAATCTAAGACCTCTTATTTACAAATGAAAAGGAATACCACTAGACCGTAGTACTAAGTGGCATATAAGTTTTCTTAATGTTTGGAGTTTTTATGTTTTAAAATCTTAAGGGGTTTAATAGTCATTTTATATAAGATACATAAGTCATTTAATAATATTTCCCACGGTTTAGTTTGAGTAATGTTAGGTAGACCAAATTTACATATCATGCGATGTATCACCAATGCGAATTAAGCACACTAATCGACACTTAAGTAATAATTCAATCATTAATACGACATCATATAGTTTACAAAATATAATTAAAATAAATGGTCACCCTATCATTACTCTTTTAGTTTTTTTTTTTGTGAGTCATCTTTAAATATGGATTAGTTGGAGACTAATTATTTTATTTTGCTGAGAAGTTTTCTGTGAGCCATCTTAAATATCGGTTAGTTGGAGCCTAATTATTTTATTTTGCTTAGAAGTTTGTATGATTGAACTCAGATGCTAGGGTTTTGCTTCAACATTGGTTTTGTTCACGATTTTTCAATTTACAATTCGGTGTTTTGGGAGTTTTGGTAATTCATTCTGAATTTGGGGTTTCAAAATAAAAATAGGGTTTAGAAGATTGAAACCCAATTTCAATCACGCTTGTCTACATCATACTAGGGTTTTCAAAATCAAATTGAATTTGGTGGTTTTGGGGTATCGTTTTCTGGAAGCATCAGTTGAAAATTTTTATTGTATTAGACTGCCATCATGGGGGCAATTTCGTGTTTGGATCCTGTAAAAGCATTGTTTGGTCGATTTTTAGGTTTTTGTAGGAATGAACAATTATCATCGTTTGAGCTTCCGTACGTTCCCTTTGATATAATCAATGAGATTTTGAGCTGGTTGCCGGTGGAGTCTTTACTAAGATTCAAGTGCGTGTGCAAGCGTTGGTTTTTGTTGATTGATCAAGATACCGAGTTCATCGTACAACAAGAGTTCGGGGCAGTTATCCTATGCTGCGATATTATCAACATGAAGAAATTACCTGTCTGGCAGCAACTAGAACAGTTTGGGCTTTTTACGACTTGAAATATACGGCGTACAGTACTGGCATGCCTTAAATGATATTATTCAAAACATTCGTAAAGTTCATGTCGTAATACTTGCACATAATCTAGCATTCACGGCATCACTTTTGTGCAAGTCGTTAAATAAAAATATTTACGGCGTAAGCATTGTGTGTCATATTTGACAATTTACACGACACACTTTCCTTCTCTTTCAAGGCATCACGTTATGTCATAACGTGAATTTTTTTATATATTTGGATCTCTACCTTTTATGGCACGAATGATACATCGTAAATAATAGTTACTAGCTTGGTGCCTAAACTTTCCCACTCCACACCTAACAAAAAATGCACAACAGGAAATTATAGCGCCAAAATGAAAAATCAAACAAGTGAAATTCTAGACCATTCCACTTCACCTTTCCCCTTTCTTACTCTGTACCTTTCAGATTGCTCGATTCTTTCACACCACCGTGACCCAACAGGAAGGCCATATCCTCTCTGGCATGCATGTCATACCCAGATTTATTTACCCAGACAACAAACCCCTCTCTCCATCGCTTTGTCGCGGTCCATGGCCTCATATCCACATCGCTTGCTGTCCACCACCGAAAATTCAAGAACCCAGGAGATCCATTCCGCCAAAACTCAAATCGACACCTAAATCTTCCTCTCCCAGACACACGAGACCGCCGTTTTTCTCCCAATGTTTTAAGGTTGAAGTTTTTTTTTTCTTTCAAAATTTTATTTTATTTTTATATAAATTTGGTTTTGAATTTACAAGTACTTTCCTCCAGCAGCCCCTCCACCTGCACATTCGCACTCCGCAACCTCCAATTTGGGTTTAATTATTCTGTGATTGGGGATATTTTTAACTTGATTTATTATTACATATGGAGGATTTTTTAAATCAGTTTTCTATTTGGTTTTTATTTTTTAGTATTTTTCTTTTTGTTGTGAATTTGTAGGATGAAATTATTTTTCTGAGATGCTTCTGTTTTTCTTGCTATTTAAAGGTAAAATCTTTCTGGCTTGTTGCTTATACAAGTTAATAAGAAAAGAAGGTTTAGTAATTTTGGGCTTTGTAGATGCTTTGAAATTGAAACATACATAATTGTTTAAGCTACCACTTTATACTCTGCAGTCAATTACAAGAGCTATCATTTATGTTTTATGGAGAAGCGATTTTATTATGTGAGGTTCTCTTTGAATCCAGAGCAGTGAGTGCTCTGTACTTGAGTAGTTTTAAAAATAAAAAACATAAGCTACTGTTTATTGGATATTAGAATATTAATGCTCTCAATTGTAATGTTTATCTTTTAGTTGCTCTGCATTGTAATCCTACACGTCCTGGAGGCTGATTTGCTCATGTTGCTTGTGCATACCAATACTTGTATCGCTCATACGAAAATCAATGAATCGATCGGTTTTTACTAATGATGGAACTTGTGCTTATTGGTTATATTTGGTTTCTGGGATCACTATCTAATCCATAGTTTGTAATACACTTCAATATATTTTTTTTTCTTTTTTGTGTTTTTGGGCTTTTACATTTGGATCTTTATGAATGTTTGGTTAATTCAAATTTTTAATATTAATTTTCAATTACAAGTTGGTACTTGGTTGCTTGACTTCTAACCCTTTTATTAGCCCATATGAGGAATTGGGTGCGTGCTGTATTCTCTTTGTTGTGATGGACTTTTGTTTGAAATTTTTGTTGAAGTTCTTGTTTCACTAAAGTCTAATTGCTTTGCTTTTTAAATGGAATTGAGTATTTTGGGTTTCACTGTTTTTTTAGGAATGGTCTCTTCGTGTACGGTTAGGTACACTAATATGGAAACAAATGGTCCAAAGATCCAAATAGCCTAGGCAGAAAATAGCTTTTGCGAATCCATTTCTGTCCTTTGCAGGTCGCTCATGCTATTTGTTAGATCACCACCTATATTTCCAAGTACAACGACAAATATATACAGGTTAAGTGATTTAATAACTTAAATAAGTGTTAATATGCCCACCTTTAAGTGTATTGTAGGAATTGTATCAACACTTTTTTTCTTGTTAAAATGTTTTCTTTTTGTAAGTTACAAACTTATATATGCATTTGAACAACGTTTGGGTTACCTAATCTTTTTTATTGAGTGAAACAATTTTTGATAGGTATGCTGGAATTGATTTCTTCCCAAATCTAAAGCGCTAAGTAATGGCGCCCAATGAATTATCAAATCTGAGGCACCAAGTATTTAAAAAATTTTAGACTAATATTAATCCAGACTATTCCAATTCAGTTTACTCTGAAAGAGTTTTAATTATGGTGTTGGGGATTTGTTAATTTTGCTCTCTCTATGTGTGATTTGGTTGGGATTGCAGAGTGACTTGGGTTTCTTTGTATGCATGTCCCGGACCTTCAGGTCACATGGGGTACTCAGCAAGGTTCTACTTTTGCAAAGGAGATGGAGATGTTACAGAATTACAGTGATACTGTAATCCAAATAATCTATTTCGAAAATCCAACTAATATGTGAGTATGTTGTAGTAGTAGTAGTAGTAGAATAACACTGGCGTATAGCCTAGTACTTAAATTATTAACTTTGTTGCTTAGCCTAGTACTCTATGAGTGTATTATAGTAGCAGTGTAGTACTTTGTTTAGTTTGTACTATTGGATAAAAATGCTAATTTGATTGAGTTCCTTTGGTATGATTTATATTCACTTATTTATTCTATTAAACGAAGAGGTTGCAGATGCAATGGTAATGAGTGGAAAAATTTATACTTAATTTTATTAGTATTAAAGTCTTTATCAATTTCTAAGTTAACATTTTGTTTTGACTAGCTCTTAACTTACCAACCGAATCGATCTCCTTTGACTAGCTAGAGTATCTTGGTTGGGCACTCTATCCGTTCCCAGGGCCTAGTTTCCAAAGATGATGTTGAGACAGGTTGGGAACTCTCTCTTTCTCTCCTTTTGTTTTAGTTCCCAAGAAAGTTGATTGGATTGAAGAAAATGGAACAAAAAGAAATGAAAAAAAAAATTGAAATTTGTTGGTGCTCCCGATGATGTTGAATTTGTAATATATTAAGACCCAAAAACTGAGGGATTTTTCGGTGTACCCGGCACACCAAAAAAATTTGGTGTACCCTCACTCATAATGGTGAGGGTGCACCAAAAAAATTTGGTGCACCCTCACTTTTTGTACACCAAAAAAATTTTAATGAGTGAGGGTACACCAAAAAAATTTGGTGTACCCGGCACAACTAAAAATTTTCCCCAAAAACTAGATAAATGGCTAACTTTGATGTAAATTGATAACAGCAAGCCACTAGGTCAAAAAACAGTGAGTCTGACCTTAGAGTTTTTGGGGATATCATAATTGATAACCATATCCACTGATCGAATATCCAATCTTCTACTTGCCGCATCAATTCTTCATGCGTGAAATGTTAGAGACTCATTAATTTATCTATTTGCAAGTATATGATTTTTATGCAGGTTCTAGGAAACAATAAAACTGTAAAGGCATAATTTGTGTATATTTTAGTCATTTAATACATGTATGAGTGTAAAACAATAAAACTATGAAGGCATAATTTGGGATTTAGGTTTGTATATAACAATGATTAGGTTTTCTTTCAGTATCACTTTTCTTACTTGAGATTAAATGTGTATTTCTACATATAGTTGTACAATAGATTTTCTTTTGCTCCATGTGCTTATGTATATGCAGAAAGAGATAGCAATTAGTGGTTCATGCATTAGAAGCAATATTTCACTCTCAAAAGACTGCGTTTGGAGGTCTTCAAGGAGAAGTGAAGTCTTTCAATTGACAAATTTTTTTGTTATTAGAGGCCTATTTGGTATTTCATGTGTAGTTTGATATTGACCTTAGCTTTGTTCAACTTGTAATACATTTTGACAATATGATTATTTATGAAATAATTGTATTATAGTAAAAGTGTAATTTTATTCATTCTTTATATATATATATATATTAAAAATTAAAATAAATGTAAATTACTGTATGCAAAATCAGCAGTAATTATTGATGCTAGTCTTTGTTTACGATGTACGATGTATGCCGTAATTGCTTTCACAATATTACGACATTTAGAAATCCAGCAACCCGCCAAGTACTTTGCTTGCCTGATGCACATAAGGATACCTACGATTTGTCATTTGACTTGAATTCATCATCTGGTGAGTGTAAAGTTGTATGTATTTACATTATCGAAAAACAGAATTACTTTGGCACTGGTGTTGGTTTTGAAGTTCTAACTGTTGGGAAGGATGAACAATGGAGACCTCTGAAAAACCCTTAACAAAATTTACCGGAACAGGGTGATGAGGGGCTGATGCTGGAATTGAGGTTTGTACATCAGTCTGATGAAGCGATTCATGTTGCTGCCGAAATTATACTGGATGAACTCGATTCCTACCTAGAAATTTATTCTCTTGACATGATCATCTAGCAGTTGCCGAGGTAAAGGACAACGTCCTTAATGGCTTGGTGTTAGAAGACTACAAGCACCAAATTTGGAGTGAAAACAAGATCATCATTCCCCTGAAATTTTTAAAGGACGATTCGCATTTGGAGGATAAAATTATTCTTTCGTGCATTTGGTTTAATAAGATCAGATTTTATAACAGTGAAGGGAAACAATGTTTTTGGTATGATATGGATACGGAGAATACGGATATTGAGAAATCTTTAGCTTCATGGAAGCCAAGCCTAGTGAATATTAAGGGAATGAAACCAGAAAGAGAAAGGGGTGCACAGTAACTACAGGCAAGACTGAATAGACTAGCTAATGACTAGATTTTATGTTTAATCTGTGGCGAAGCTCTTCGTACGTAAGACTTTTGCCCCCCTTTTAATGTTTTTTATTTTATTTTATGCTTTGCATTTGCCAAGACTTTAGATTTATGCATCAGTGATATCTAAATTTGGAATGGAAACAGTGAACTAACTTGAGTTGCAACACAAACTTCTTACTGTTTTTGATTCGTGATGATACTAGAAATGATTCAATGTGAGTTAAGTTAATTTGCCGAATATTTTGCATGCCAGTCAGCCTCCTTGCCTTCGAGTTGTTATCTCCACGTATGTCACGGTCACGGACCTTAAGATTATATACTGGACTTGTGTAAAAATTTGTATTCCTCTTCCTTTTAGCTAAGAAGATTTAATGTACATGCATTAATTGATGCATTTCGTGTTAGGGCGGTACAGACGGGAAACATATGTGGTGGAGTTAAGGGCGGGAACTTTCCGGGTTCACTATTTATGTCGGATAGTAATAAGCTAATGTCGGTTATATCCGACCGTTATTGTTTATGTCTAATATAAGCGATAACAGTGCTTTGTTATCTGACACTATTTAAACATGTTGTCAGAAATTTTATCCGACAGTAATTATATAAAACTGCCACCACTTTCCGACACATTAAACCAATTTTGTAGTTGTGGGTGTATTTTATATTAATTTTGATGGATTTTTATAGACTCTCAAATCCAGGTGTATTCAATATATTATGGTCTTATCTTATGTGTTAATTTGTAATGGCATCTGAGCATTACTTTAGATTATTCTTACCCCAGAGAATCTTGGATAGGGCTGCTGCATATCTATAACACTCTTTGGATCAATTTACCATTAACAGAAACAACAGTGCAAAATGGCATAACTTTCTCTCGTTAGTGTGGAAGTTCAAAAGTGGCACAGGCATTCCAAAGGAAATGTTCATCAGTTTAATTATCTCTTATCAGAAAAAGATTATTACAGTTAATATACGACAATTCTAAAGAACAAGATAATGTCATCACATTCAAATTTCAAGAGCACTCCGATTTCCCCTTACAACATAAAAAAAGCGATGAATCCCTTCATTGTTCACCGATAAACATTAATCTCTTTCATTTGTTAGAAAAAATCTCAGGTATATGAGGGAGGCTTTTATTCCTCAATTAATTGAGAAACAAGGGGAGGAGGGAGCTTATAATACCTGGCCCTGAGTACATTTATCTTCTAAAAGCACATTATGAATAATATCAGACGACTCTTCGGACCATTCAAAACACAAATATTAAAGAAAAGACTGAGGGAAAACGACTATAAATTTCTGATTGAATAACAATAGTTTTCTCTTCGTTTTGGGACATACTAAGGCAGATAACAAATCCAACTCCTCACTAATTTTTGGGACATACTAAGGCAGATGACAAATCCAATTCCTCACTAAGTGGTAACTAGGAAGATGAATATACCAATTTAAAAGCCCGTACTCTTTAGTCCTCAAATCTCAGTGAAAGTAGTAAACATGAAGTCTGATAGATCTCAGGCATTTTTAATTTCTCAGTTGTATTAAATCTATCATTACAAAACACGAACAAGATTTCACTTTAATCTGCCTCTTATTTTCTCTTGTTTTGCTAATATGTGATCTCCATTGAAGGTCTCATAACCTTTTTATAATTGTCTTCTCCTGAATATTTGACATTCATGAAAAATGGAACCTGCCCCAAACACGAACCACTTAAAATATAAACGCGGCCAACATAGCACGTAGATGATAGGGAGACAAATTTCTACACCAAATTTTGTAAACACAAACATGAACAAGACTCATTTTATTCTACAGAACGAAAACAAGACATTTAATTTCCAGGCCAAACAAAAATATGGCAATTTATTTCTTGTTCATTCACAATTTTTTTTTTTTTTTTTTACTGGAAAGAGGAAATAATGATCAAAACAATTGAAGGCAGGATTTCGGACATGATGATGATGATCATCAAATTCAATCTATGACAACCAGCTTCTGGTACAATTCCCCGGAGATGGCCTCTTCCATAATACGATCCGGGCAGATGTCAATTTCACCATCTTCATCCAAGAACAACTTCATCAAATTCTTGGAGAAACCACTCAAGAGAGCCACTCCTTTTTGTGATCCAGACACTGGCGTAGAACGCGAGTGTCTCAGATTCCAAAACACAATCTGGGGCACCACATCCCCGTACCCTTTCTCCTCAAACTTCCTTTGTATTACCTCATAATCAGTCTCCCACTTCCCGCTCTCCTCCCTACCACTATCAGTCTCCCAACTCCATCTCCCCGGATACCTGCAACTCGAAGCCGAAGCCTCGTCAAACTCCATGTCGCTGAACACAAAGATCCTCTTGATCATATGCTCTGGTTTCAAATTCCCATTCACGGCCACTTCCAAAAGTAAATCAAACACCTTCTGGAAATCAGTGTTCGCGCCCCATTCCATCCTCCTTATAAATTCGCACTTCGAACTTAGATCATCGCCTTGTATCAAATGTAGCTGAGGGTCATGACTGAAAGTGATGACCTTTCCCTTCCACGGCTCTCCACTCAGTTCGGACAACAACAGTCCCAATGCAACACACACCTCCATCGGAGTCCCGCGCATGCTTCCCGAGACATCACACACAGCCAAACAATTTTTCATCTTGCCTTTTTTCAACATGTCCTCCACCATTCTTTTCCAATGCAGCTCACCCACTTCCCCGCCATCACCATGTTTCAGCGAGGCTATGATCTCATGAGGAAGCAGAGCACCCGCCGCAATCTTAGACTTTCCGGCCATCACGTCCTGCAAATACTTCTTAAACCTCTCTTCATCGTGCTTCATGAACTTTTCTTTGTACAGTTTCATGGCCACGGAAGCCACACGATTGTACGGAATAGCTCCCCATTGATTAGCACCCATATACACCTCGGGCAACTGCAACACCTTCCTCAACGGCACCAACACCTCCTTCCTCAGCCGGTCTCTCACTCTGAACGCGTAATGCGCCTCCTCTACACCTTCATATTCCGGGTAGGATTCTCGCGGAAACACCTTCCTTGCAATCGCTTCACAGAGAAGAGTGGAGCGATCGAAGGAGGAGTCGAGGGAAGGGCACCACTTCGCCGCCAGGGTGATCTTCTTGTACTCATTGGACTTGAAATTTTCGAGATCCGACTTCAAGCACTCCGCGAAGAGATCGGAAACCTGATGGTGCAAGAACCGGTAATCCGGGTCACGCTGGAACCTCGCAACAGCCTTCTTCGCCATGGCGATTTTCTTCTCTTTCCTCGCAGCGCTCGCTTTTTCTTTTTCCAATTTTACCCTCTCCAATGCCTTCATCATCTTAACCGCTTTAGGCTCACTCTGTCTCCTGCGGTTGATGGCTCCAGAGGCCGCTTTGGTAATTTTAGTACTAGTACGTCGGGTTCTTCTCCGTGCCAGTCGACGGATTGTCGATCTCCTACGGCCGAGAAATCTGCCGTTTGGAATGGACCACTCCTCCCTTTGCTTCTTCCTCACGTCATGGCCTTCTAGAAGGCGGTATAGAATCTCCGGCATGTCTTTAAAATACCCAAATTCGGCAAAGGAAGCGAGGTTGCAGGCTAGGGTTTTGGGGTGGTTCTTGTGGAGCCAAAATGCCGCCGTGTAGAACCCTTCCTTATCGGACTTTCCGGTGCCGCGGACACCACGGAGGTTGCATATGAGCTTGAGGGTGGTTAGGGCGTCGTGGGCCCAGGCCAGAGGAAGTTGTTGGTTGATATAGGAGGCGGGGGTGGATGGTACGACTTGGAAGAAGAGATCGAGGCAGGCGTTGCCGGAGGAGAGGAAGGTGCCCGAACCGTTCTCGGTGAAGCCCATGAGCGGTCGGGACCCGCTGGGAGCGGGATTGGGTTGTGGTGGTGGGGCGAAGGTGTTGATCTGTGGAGGACCAACAATAGTAGTAGCAGTTGGAGGAGAAGGAGGAGCCATTGGAGTGAGCTTCTTGTGAAGAGATGTGAAGGGCCCAAATGAAATTAGGGTTTCGTTTGCAGTCTTCTGCTGGATATGTCACGTTTTTATGGGAGATTGTTTACCTGTGGGGGCATAGGTTTTTTGCCCTTTCCCAAAATAATCACTATTGGATAATATTATATAGGTACTAGTGAAAATTATATATATTCATTTTGACCAAATAAAAAGATGATTGTGTTTTTTGTAACTTTAAAAAAAAAAAAAAAAAAAAAAATATATATATATATATATATAACAAATATCATTAATTGGACCATACATTACATGCCACATCACATGTCATTAATACAGTTGGAGAAAACTTTTTATTTTCAAGTGTCCCTCCAATTATATAATAACATGTGACATATTATCTCGTGCTCCAAACATATTGAAAAATCTCTAGTACCTAAGTATTATCCATAACCATTTGAAACTAAAAAGTTGTAGCCCTACAAGGAATACCCACACTACACACTGACAACAATCCGTTCTTATTGTATGTTTTGGCAACCGACTTCAGTCCCTGATGTGGCTTGGGACAGTGCAGCTACAGGTACCCCTCCGTCCCTTCGATTGGGGTGTTTCCTATATCCGTCCCAAGTTTTCCATTTTAAACTAAATTAATCAGCATTTTCTTCCATCAGTCTCCTATATGAAATCCCACTTTTATTCAATTATTTTATTACTTTATTTTTGGTTAACATGAAATTTGAGTGAGATATTTATTATATATGTCCAGTAAATGATTTTCTTGCTCCTCTCCTCGATTAGGGAACGGGCCAGTTTGAATAAGGTGGTGGTCTATCCAGTGTTCTTCCTTGGCTTGCTACTTCTGCTGAATGTGCAATCTGAGAATTGAGTCAATAAATAAAAGGCCAAACATACAAAATGGGCAAATGAACAAATCAATCTGAAAAAAAATCACATACCATATTCAGAATTGGTAAAATCCCCATGCCCTTAACCTTTCAATAAACCATCTCCAAATCAGGTCCTGTTAAACAAACATCCAATTATTCTCAATAAGCTCAAAAAAGAAAAAGAAAATCAAATCAGTCCCAAATCTGCGTATTCCTTGTAGTGTAGGAGCAGAAACAGTACAGTTATACTCAAGTTAAGTCGCTTCTATTTTTCTCAATTGCAGTCCCTTCAGGACTTCAGAAATGAAGCGCCATTTACTTGTGCATCAAGCAAATGTGAAAAATTTGAACTTAACAAACATTTTGCACACATTATGTTTGTGTGTCACCAAACATCATAATCCAAAACAATTTCGGTTTGAAGATTTAAACTTCTCACTTCGTCAGGATGAATTTTTCAGTTTCTAGTGTTTCTTGTTGGAAAATCAAATAAAAACAGGTTGTTAATGGTTAAAACAAGCTGTCAGTTTCTTTCCAGGGTGTTTTTTCAGCAACTACAAAGATCATTGCTTCCTCCATGTGTTAGCCGAAAGAAGATTGAAAGACAGCAGAGATGTGAGCTGCTGTGTGCAAGCCGAAAGGTGGTTATTACAACCTGCCATGATGCAATGCATGTGTATGCCAACTATCAAAGTTACTGCATGTGTTTGAAAGGGTGTAAAGATGTGGAACACCATCATTCATTATATGTACTGTTGGATTGTTTAATTTTTCAGTTTTGTATAAATAGGCCATCTTGCTAAGCCTTAGTGCATCCCATCCAAATCCCATTTCCCATTCATTTAATTTCAGCTTGTAAGCTTTAAGAGTTGTAAACTCTTCTAATATTTCGAAGTGTTTGTTATCACCAAGCTTGCTACTTCTTTCCTTTCTTTGTCCAATTTTATTGAGAGTGAAAGTGAGAGGTGTGATAGAGTTTGTAAACTTATCACCCACATATTTTGGTATTGAGTTAGCAAACTCTTGTGAATACCAACATTTCTTACTACAAAATAATCACCACTTGAAGGGACAATAAAACAAATTGAAACTGAAGGGAAGCACCATTATATACTGCAACAAGAAAAAGTGAGAAACTGAGCAAATAATGACTGAAGCAGCATGGACCTGGGGTTGCTTTGCTACCCTAGCTTCATCTGAAACTCATTACACAAAACATGAGATGTGCTCCGGCAAAGATTGATTATCTTTGCAAACAGATAGACGGGCCATAGAAGATGAACTGATGAAATCAGAGGGGCTTGCGATATAACAAATCATCGATAAATATTGTTATGTAGACGAAAGCAGGACATTTGACACTCACCTGGATGAGCAAAAGTTCCAACAATTGGCTTTGCGTAAGTTCTTACAGTTGCTGCATACTGAAAACACACTCTTCGCTTCTTGTAATTGAATGGGGCATGATCACGGATTTCCAGAGCATATGATTGTTGGATTTGTGACCAAGTGGACAACAAGACAATATAACTTTCGGCTATTAAAATATGAAAAAGGTGGACAACACCTTACCTTGTTTTAGGGAAGAAAAAAGGGAAAAGGTTTTCTTTCTCTTCTACACCCGTGGGTTTTGGTCCCTTATGTTTTGGTGGTTGCCTTTGCAGCCTAATAATAAATAAGAGAAAGAGATAGAAAGCTACAGAGTGTGAGTAGAAAGAGTGGAGCTCATTTTATGTTTTGAGCTGAATACAGAGAGCAAGGAGAGCAGAGGAGAGAGCATTCGGCTCTCCCATTTGAAACAGTGCTGCTCCTTCCCATTTGTTTGTAATCCCCTTTTGTTAGTGATCACTCAATCAAAGATATTTGTGCTACATTTTGTGGCTTTTGGGAGAGAAGGAATTTGGTATATGTTTCCATCTTCTCCATTTGTTCTTTGTGAGAGTGAGAGCTATTGGGTGTATGTGGGCTATTGGGTTTGAGAGTTAAAACTCTATTTGTAATCTCCTTTTGACATTAGTGGAATTTCCTCGCCGTCTCGGAACTGGATGTAGGCTTACGCCGAACCAGTATAAATCCTTGTGCCTTTTTTTTTGGATTATTTGTCTTGTCATATTTTGCCGTATTAGCTTTAGTTTCATATTTGAAGCTTCCGCACAACAAGTGGTATCAGAGCTCTGGGTTTCGACTTGGGGCTTTGTACAAGTATGTCTATGAAACCATCGAATATGTCGGTGAAATATGATATTGAAAAATTCAATGGGAGGAATGATTTTAGCCTTTGGCGGGTTAAGATGCGAGCTGTGCTAGTTCAACAAGGGTTGCTTAAGGCGCTACAGGGTGTGGAAGCCTTGCCACAAGATTGGTCTGCTGAAGAAAAAGAAGACGCTTTGAATCGAGCACATAGTGCAATTATGTTATCACTATCTGATGAAGTTCTTCGTGAGGTGGATAATGAAACTACTGCAGCTGGTTTGTGGCTTAAGTTGGAAAGTAGATATATGACCAAATCCCTCACCAATCGTTTGTATTTGAAGCAACGTTTGTACACTCTCCGTATGACTGAAGGTACGCCTATTCAAAATCATCTTGATGAGTTTAATAAGGTTATTATGGATTTGAAAAGTATGGATAATAAAATTGATGATGAGGATCAATCTTTGATTTTGTTGTGTTCTTTACCTCCTTCGTATGCGAATTTTGTCAAAACTTTGTTATATGGGAGAGATTCTATTTGTATGGAGAATGTAAAAGCCGCTTTGAATTCAAGAGAGTTAAAGAACAAAGTATTTGGAAATTTGAATGATTCTCATTCTGAGGCTTTGATAGCAAGAGGCAGAGATAGGGAATATGGTTCAGGTAGTAATAAAGGAAATTTGAGATCGAAGTCTAAGACCAGAAACAACACATGCAACTATTGTCGCAAGGAAGGGCATTGGAAAGTTGATTGCCCAAAACTGAAAGAGAATCTGGTGTTGTGGGTACTCTTAAATCTCTCCACTACATATGGAGATTTAAGAGTTTGTAAGGATTCCTTGTTATGATTTGAGAAAGTTGCTTAGTAGCCTCTATGTATGTTTGTGTTATGTCAGTTGCTCTTCATCGGTGTTTTTTATTGTTTTGGATATTGGTATGGTTTTGCTTTTTTTTTTTGGTAAAGTTGAATTCAGTGAGGGCCAATTTGTTGAGTTCTGCAAGTTTGGATAGTGAGGCACCACACTATTTTGGATACACCACATGCACTGCAGAACATTTGTGTGGAACCCTCGTGTAGAAGGCAAGTTATATGCTTTCTAACTTTGTTTGGGCTATGGACATTTGGTTGGATTTGTTTGCCACTGCTATTTGGTCTGTTGGTCTCCATCATCTGCAATTAGTTTTCTTGAAGACTCCAGTTGAGGTATGGTTTTGGATCTCCTATTGATTATTTGAATTTGAAATTTTGGTTGTCCTGTTGGTGCTCATGTGATGATGGTAAACTTGAGTGAAGGGCATATTTTCGTATGTGGTATGTGAGACTTTGTTGCCAAATTTGTAATCAGTTTTGACTTGGAGAATGTGCCATGCTATGTGAATGAGTCTATTGGTGCAGTTTAAGACCATGGTGTTTGTGAGCAGGTGGAGTTCATTGTGTGTCCAACTTTGGTATGGTGTACTTGATCTTTTGTTGGTGATATTGAAGAATCTCAGTTCTTCGTTTGAATCACCTTTTGTTTTGATCAAGGCACTTATGGTTTGCAAAATTGGAGAAGACGGTAGAGAAATGGTCTACTTTTGTTGGCTTTGGTACAGTTTGAGTCGAGGTGGAAATTGTTATGAGCACTGGTAAGTTTGGGGAATTTGATTTAGTTCCCGTTGTCTTTAGTGTGTACTTTGGGTGCTTATGGTGATTGTTGATTCGATTCTCTGTTATGCTTTCGGAACTTGGTCAAGGTGGAGATTGTTGGATTTGTGACCAAGTGGACAACAAGACAATATAACTTTCGGCTATTAAAATATGAAAAAGGTGGACAACACCTTACCTTGTTTTAGGGAAGAAAAAAGGGAAAAGGTTTTCTTTCTCTTCTACACCCGTGGGTTTTGGTCCCTTATGTTTTGGTGGTTGCCTTTGCAGCCTAATAATAAATAAGAGAAAGAGATAGAAAGCTACAGAGTGTGAGTAGAAAGAGTGGAGCTCATTTTATGTTTTGAGCTGAATACAGAGAGCAAGGAGAGCAGAGGAGAGAGCATTCGGCTCTCCCATTTGAAACAGTGCTGCTCCTTCCCATTTGTTTGTAATCCCCTTTTGTTAGTGATCACTCAATCAAAGATATTTGTGCTACATTTTGTGGCTTTTGGGAGAGAAGGAATTTGGTATATGTTTCCATCTTCTCCATTTGTTCTTTGTGAGAGTGAGAGCTATTGGGTGTATGTGGGCTATTGGGTTTGAGAGTTAAAACTCTATTTGTAATCTCCTTTTGACATTAGTGGAATTTCCTCGCCGTCTCAGAACTGGATGTAGGCTTACGCCGAACCAGTATAAATCCTTGTGCCTTTTTTTTTGGATTATTTGTCTTGTCATATTTTGCCGTATTAGCTTTGGTTTCATATTTGAAGCTTCCGCACAACAATGATCAATGGGATCTTCGTGTTCAGCGACATGGAGTTCGATCAGGCTTCGAGTATAATAGCTGGGAAATTGATTATGAGGCCATACAAAGAAAATTTAAGGAGAAAGGGTACGGGGATGTGGTGCCACAGATTGTGTTTTGGAATCTGAGGCACTCGAGTTCTACACCAGGCTAGGACACAAATGCAGTGCCAAGAAATAGAATTAAATATTTTGAGATTTTTATTATTTTATAAATTTTTTTGATGAAGTTGTTCTTGAATTATGAGGGGTGAGTTCACCATGGAACTATCCATCTCCGTCGAAGAGTATCAGAGTCTGACTGTGGTGCATTGATGGCATGGCGGTGTTCGGTCATCATTTGTTTGAAAATTAAAAACAAAAATGTATATGAAGATAAAGAAATAAGAAAAGTCCTAGCTAGTTTCAAGTTATTTGGTCTTGTCTTTTATTTCTCTGAACTTTTAGATCATCTAGTGCCAACAAACCATAAGTACAGCAAACGCTACTAATCAGTTGAGTTACACACAAACACCCCTTATATTGTAACTGTTGATCAAGTTATACTGCTTTTATTAAGTGCATTAAGAGTGATTATCGAAATTCTATTTCCCAGGTTCGATCGGTCTCAAACAGATATCAAATTCAAGTAAATTATTATATGAATTCAACAACTTCACCAATGGAATTCCACTTGCAGGTCATTCATATTATGCCCGGCATGACGTACGGGGGCACAGAATTTCCACCTTGGTTTATTTTCTGAGCATTGGCGATATAACCTGTGTAATATTCGTCACACAATGGTTTAATCAAAGCTACTAAGTATAATTAAGACAGTGAATTCTATACCTAGGGCAGGGTCTAGTCCACGGTTTTTGACGTCATGGATACTTCAGAGTCATATTATCTTAACCATATATATATTGGAAGATATCTATCTCTCTATACAAAAAGCTAAGAAGGAAATTGACCAGTTAAACAAAATTCTCTCTTTTCCTGTTTTTAGAAGATGAAACGTAAAAAGTGTTTTACTGAAGCGTAAAGTAAGATAAGTGAACGCAAATATCCAAAACAACAATCCCTTGAAAACATAAGAGGATATAGAAGCAATACTTGAACTTGAAAATGTGAAGTAGCTTAATCAAAGCAAAATGATTACCATGAAGAAACTGAAATTTCTTCATTATTACCAACAAAACAAGCATATTATGATGAGATGATCTTTTGAGAAATGATCTACAAGATGAAGAGTTGGATCTACGATGTGGAGTGAGCCCCACAAAGAATCTTTTATTTGAAGGATCCTTCAATGAGAGGGGACTGATATATGTGTGTGTGTGTGTGTGTGTCGTCCATATTGTTGATATCATGGAGCCAATACTCGACATGTCATTCATATTGTTGATATCATATGTGTTGATAAATCGTATTGATATGGACACATATATGGTGGCGGTAGTATGAAAATATACATGTGAAGGTCTTTTGAGGATCCTCCGAATGTTTGGTACGTACAGGTCTCTTTTATGCCCACCAAGTGTTTGATGTAACGTTTGTCAAGCATATTTCGACAGGTTGCGTTGATTGCACTGGACAAATTCTCTCATATCATTCATCGAATTCCTTCGGCATGTGTATGTCGATATATGTTAACATGTTCACAACATGGTTTGGTTGACGACAACAAGTCAACTAGGCGTTTGAAAAATTACCTCAGTGAGTAAAAAAACAATCTAGCGCTTCATGAGCTTTTCTATCTAAAAAACTTGGACATTTAATAGTAGGACTCCCCAAGGTTCAAATCCTAGATCCGCCATTAGAGGTAGTTGAAGTTTATTATACGTGTTGTCAATACGTCTTAGTTTGTTGTCAATATCTTATATATCGATATGTAGTCGAGTGTCGTGCTCTACAAACAGTGAAGCAAGATCCCTCCTAACAAAAGACGCATATGTATAAGTAATTATATTATATACATTTTGGTTAAAATAAAGTGATGTCACAGATTTGTCCCAGATATATATAATTATATTATATACGTATTAGTTGAAACATTCAACTTAATTGGATAGTTGATAAGGATCTCTTGAAGCAATATGATTTTCCCATCGACTTTAATTAGGATGTTTCGTGCCATTGAAGAGGCCATGTGCTCAACGATTATATAAACCACTAATAAGGTCAACCTAATTATGATCTTAACTAGAGATTATAGTTTGCTGGGACAAGCTCTCAATTCCAAAGCTAAAAATGGCAGCTCCTCCACTAGCAATAATATTTTCCTCCACTAGCAATAATCAAAATATATCTATTACAATTTGCAGGCACATTCCGCTAGCTGCCAGCGTTTTTCTGCATTTGCAAATAATTAATGAGATTCTGGTCAAAGTAAACTCTTCTGCAGTTCCATATTATCGACACTAGACGGTGATTGCCACGACTTTCCCACGATAAGTATTGAAGTTGAACAAATCCATATAATCTATCCCATCTCACACGTAAAGAAATTTTTTGTTGAAGAAAGTAAAGTCACTTGCCAGATATTTGGCAAAGTAAATATGCCAGATATTTGGCAAAGTAAATATATTCCATTGATAATAACCGAAATTATTTTATTTAAAATTTCGGCATTTACTAATTTGTATATGAAATTAAGTTGGGCACAATATTATTGATGTTAACATTTTGTTAGGTATTTCTTTGCTCTTTTTTTTTCGCAAGATAATTGACTTTCAATAGCTTTGTGTTTGACTTCAGTAATTCCTTACAGAAATCCCACAAGTAGGGTTTTGTTAATTAGTAAGATTGCTTCCTCAATTGCACAACATGTTCCCTTCATAAGTTGGTGGGAGTGGCATATATATAAATGTATAGCATGCAACTGTTGTTTTCATCCGCAGCTCCCTGTATCTATACATCTCTATTTCTCTGAGATCCCATCAAAAAGAAAATTAGAGTGGAAGCTAGCTAGCTAGGCTAATGGGAAATCCAGAAGGAGGGCCGTCTGCGTACGACGGTGATCATGATCTCTACCAACCTCAAGTGGAGGTGGATTATGAGTTACAAGCTGATCAACAATCTCAATACCAACAAGTGTCTGAAACCACCAGACACGACCACAACCAACAAGATCAATACCAAGAGCCACCGCCTCAGCCAGCACAGTTCCCTCCTCAAAGCCCACAACAATTCCCACCACAAAACCCACAATTCCAAAATCAACAACAAGAAGCAAACTATCAGCAGCCTAGGCCTGCACAGTTTCCACCCCAGCCCCAGAGTAATATGCAAACCAATCCTAACCGTAATCCCATGTATGCAAATGTGCCTAACCAACCCGGGGCGGTCTACCCGCCACAAGGACCACAACCAATGGGCGTGGGGAACCAACAAGCTCCAGCTCAGTTTCCTCCCCAATCTCCAGCACAATTTCCTCCCCAATCTCCAGCGAATTATAATCAGCAATATCAGAAGCCGGCAGTGCAATTTTCCACACAGAATCAACAATACCAACAACAGCAGCCTAATAATGGTTATGCTGTTCAAGGGGTTCCAATGCAGCAGAGTCCTTACCAGCAGGGACCTCTTAATCACGTCAACCTGCAGAATGCTGGAACTGAGCAATGGAGTTCTGAGTTATTTGATTGCATGGATGATCCAATGAATGGTACGTACGTACATACATACCTTAGGGCTTTTTTTAAAACTGCTTTTGTAGGAAATACTTTTGTTTATAAGTGTTTTTGCTATAAGTACCTTCTATTAGAAACACAGGATATTAAAATTGAAGTTTTTTCAAGTGCTTCCATAGTGCTTCCCCAGAAAGTGCTATAACGCAAAACCACTTTTAACTATATTTTGCCAAATGCGTCAAAAGTGTTTTTAATTGTCATAAAGCACTTCTAGCTCTTTCAAAAACAGCCACACCCTTATTTATTTCTCTTTCCGCATCCAAAGTATAGCTAGTTCTCATATTTTGAACTATGAGTTGAGATTTATTATAAACATTACTATGACATTTCAGCTCTCACAACGGCTTTTGTTCCATGCTTGACGTTTGGACAGATAGCAGAGGTTATAGATAACGGCACATCCTGTAAGCCAAATTTCAAAACATATATCTATTCAAACTTCATATCATGTTACAATATTTGAAGAGAGAATTAACCCAAATTGTGCATGCGATATTGACCTATATATCCATACTACTGTGTAGCATGTGCGACCAGCGGACTGTTCTACGGATTGATTGCATCTTTCATTGGGATACCATTCATAATGTCATGCACGTATCGCACAAAGCTGCGCAGCAAATACAACCTAATCGAGTCCCCCGCACCCGATTGGGTCACCCATTTATTTTGCGAACCCTGCGCTCTTTGCCAAGAGTACCGGGAACTTCAAGTCAGAGGGATTGACCCTTCAATCGGATGGATAGGAAATGTGCAAAGGAATCCCAGCTTGCAGCAGCCGAATGTTAATATGATGATGCCTCCAATGAACCAAAATATGAATCAGTATTGACTAAAAAAAACTAATGTTTGTGATGGACAAGTTCAACCGTTTGCAGATTACTTGCATTTACTTATGCATGCCTCAAGGCTATTTTTCTCTCTCTGTGTTATGTTTATTTTCGTATGTTGATATTTGTGGATACTCTGAATATGTATCGCTTCCCTTTTGTAATTTTGAACAATTTGCCATTTTCATGTATTGAAAATTCAAAAAAACGCTTTTTGTTTTGATGATTTCTGGAGTTCTGTATATTATTAAAGATTTAGATATAACGTGCGCAGCTGCAAGCCAGGTCTAATGGTAAGTAGACATTCATCTTTATACAAGTTGGTAAGGTCATTAGGTTAAATAAATAACTAGTAGTAAATGATTATATGCGACAACATTATATAAAAGGTGCAGACGTAGATTAGACTAATTAGTCAAAGCAATTAATATGACCATATCCCTTGTATGTGAGTTTAATTTTCCCTCCATTCAAATTAGAACAAAAGGTTATATTTGATTTTATAATTATTCATTATCCCATACAATTTTGTATAATTAGAAACTAGTAAGCTGGAGTGATCAGTGCTTCCTTGCTGTTAACCGTGTTGATAATGTGTGGGCGTATGGATAGAATAGTAAGTGAGAGGCTGTCCTTAGTTTTCTCGTCTGTATATAAGGACTTCTTGAAGAAGTTGTCCATTGGGTACCATTGATGGTCAAACCCCTCTTCCCTGGACAAAGGGACGACGTCCTAGGGTTGATCTCATACATAGGACGTCCTCAAGCACAAAACGATCATGGAACATCAACCAAATCAGGTGGCGCCGCTGGTATTCTGTTGGAAAATCAAATAAAAACAGGTTGTTAATGGTTAAAACAAGCTGTCAGTTTCTTTCCAGGGTGTTTTTTTAGCAACTACAAAGATCATTGCTTCCTCCATGTGTTAGCCGAAAGGAGATTGAAAGACAGCAGAGATGTGAGCTGCTGTGTGCAAGCCGAAAGGTGGTTATTACAACCTGCCATGATGCAATGCATGTGTATGCCAACTATCAAAGTTGTTGCATGTGTTTGAAAGGGTGTAAAGATGTGGAACACCATCATTCATTATATGTATTGTTGGATTGTTTATTTTTTCAGTTTTGTATAAATAGGCCATCTTGCTAAGCCTTAGTGCATCCCATCCAAAATCCCATTTCCCATTCATTTAATTTCAGCTTGTAAGCTTTAAGAGTTGTAAACTCTTCTAATATTTCAAAGTGTTTGTTATCACCAAGCTTGCTACTTCTTTCCTTTCTTTGTCCAATTTTCTTGAGAGTGAACGTGAGAGGTGTGATAGAGTTTGTAAACTTATCACCCACATATTTTGGTATTGAGTTAGCAAACTCTTGTGAATACCAACAATTGGTATCAGAGCCAGAATACCATTCTGGCAAGTGCAGTAGCTATGGCGTCCAATTTAGTGCAACTCCAGGTTCCCACATTGAAGAAAGAAAATTATGAAAGATGGTGCATCCAATTCAAAGCATTGTTTGGATCACAGGAGCTATGGGAAGTTGTCAGTAGTGGGTATGTTGTACCCACTGCCGAGCAAGAAGCTGCATATACTGCAGAACAAAGGAACACTCTCAAGGACTTACGAAAGAAGGACCAGAAGGCACTGTATCTTCTATACCAGGGTCTAGAAGATTCAACGTTCGAGAAGGTTGCAGAAGCAATAACGAGCAAGCAAGTATGGGACACACTCAGTACAATCTACAAAGGAGTAGATCGGGTCAAGAAAGTGAGATTACAGTCACTTCGAGCAGATTTTGAAACTGCTCACATGAATGAAGGAGAGAGCATCTCCGACTATCACTCAAGGCTCATTGTGATAGTAAATCAGATGAGGAGAAATGGCGAGAGACTCGATGAAGTACGAGTTGTGGAGAAGATACTCCGGTCACTCACATCTAAGTTTGAGCATGTGGTGACTGCCATTGAGGAATCCAAGGATTTGGAGGTGATGAGCGCAGAGGAGCTACTAGGATCCCTCCTAGTTCACGAGCAATGCATTCAGAAGAATGCAAGCCCCACAACGCTAGAGCAAGCTTTGGAGTCAAAGTTGAATATTGACAAACCAAATAAAGGTCGTGGGCAGTGGAACTCACGTCGTGGGAGTTCATCTAACCGTAGCCGAGGACGAGCTCAAGGAAGAGGTCGAGGCTACGCACAAAATCGAGGTCAATCTCAAGAGTGGAGATCTACTCGAGGAAAGGCGCATATCCAATGTCACAATTGCAAGCAATATGGACATTATGCCAATGAATGTTCACATAAAAATGGTGAGCATGTCAACATGGCAGAATCAAGTGGAAATACTGATGAAGAACTTACAATCTTGCTAGCACACCATGATTCCAGTAGCCAACAAGATGTTTGGTATTTGGACTCTGGTGCAAGCAATCACATGTGTGGAAAGAAGGAGTTTTTTGCTGAACTAAAAGATGGGGCCTATGGATCTGTAAGTCTTGGTGACTCCTCAAAGTTGCCAGTTGAAGGCAAAGGGAAGATCAAGATCATCCATAAGGATGGTAAAGAAGAATACATCTCCGATACCTACTACATACCAGGTATGAAGAGCAACATTCTAAGCATTGGTCAACTGCTCCAGAAAAGGTACATTATACATATGGAGAATATGTTTCTCACTCTCAGGAATGCAAGGAGAAAACTTATTGCACGTGTTCAAATGTCAAAGAACCGAATGTTCCCGTTGAAGTTGAACACAAAGATTGGGAGTTGCAACATCGGTGCAATGGAAGATTGTTCATGGAAATGGCATCTTCGGTATGGCCATCTTCATTTCAATGGCCTAAAGTTGTTGTCAAATGAAGGAATGGTTCGTGGTCTACCCCAGATTGAAGCCACACGCCAAGTATGTGAAGGTTGTGTGCTTGGCAAGCAAGCACGACTATCATTCCCTGTTGGTGATACATGGAGAGCAAGGGCACCACTGCAGTTGGTGCACACAAATATATGTGGTCCATTGGATCCCATGTCTTATGGAGGTAATAGGTATTTTATTACTTTCATTGATGATTTTAGTAGGAAGACTTGGGTTTACTTTCTCAAGGAGAAGTCGGCTGCCCTAAGAATCTTCAAGGAGTTCAAGGCACTCACAGAGGCTGAAAGCAACCACAAGCTTGTGGCTGTGAGATCAGATAGAGGTGGAGAGTACACCTCCAATGCTTTCCAAGCATACTGCAAGGAGCAAGGAATTAGGCATCAACTTACTGCTGCCTATACCCCACAGCAAAATGGGATAGCCGAAAGAAAGAATCGAACCATCCTTGACATGACAAGGTCCATGCTTAAGGAGAAGAATTTGCCAAAAGAGTTATGGGCAGAAGCTGTAGCTTGTTCGATTTATTTGTTGAATCGATGTCCAACAAAGAGTGTCAAGAGGATGACACCACAAGAGGCTTGGAGTGGATACAAGCCGAATGTTACACACCTAAGAATTTTTGGGTGTGTTGCATATGCTCAAGTTCCATAAGCCAAGAGGAGGAAACTTGATGATAGAGGTGAGAAGTGTGTGTTTGTGGGCTATAGTGAAGAGTCCAAGGCGTACAAGCTCTACAACCCACTAACTGGCAAACTAGTGGTTAGTAGAGATGTCATTTTCAGTGAGGAAGAGGCATGGATGTGGAACAACAAAGAAGTCAGTAAAGAGAAGATCGTCTCCACTGATTTTGAAGAACCAGAAGTTGTACCACCTGTTGAGCAACAACCTGATCAAACAATCACAACAACTCCAGTGCACAGAATTGCAAGGAGTGGTCCTACATCTAGTGAGGAAAGCAGCTCCTCAACTCCAGTGAGGTTAAGGAGTCTCACAGAGATTTATGGACAAGAAGAAGAAGAAACCAATTTTTTCTGCTTCTATGCAGACCATGAGCCTCTCTCATTCAATGAAGCTGTGGAAGAAAATTGTTGGAAAAAAGCCATGGAAGAAGAGATCCATGCCATCGAGAAGAATGACACTTGGGAGTTGACAAAGCTCCCACCAAATCAGAAGGCTATTGGTGTCAAGTGGGTTTACAAGATCAAACGCACTGCAAATGGGAGTGTGGATCGATACAAATCAAGGCTTGTAGCAAAGGGCTACAAACAGAAGTATGGAGTGGACTATGATGAAGTCTATGCTCCAGTTGCAAGACTTGACACGGTAAGATTGCTAATCTCTCTTGCCGCTCATCATAAATGGAAAATTTATCAATTAGATGTCAAGTTAGCCTTCCTTAATGGAGTTCTTGAGTAAGAAGTGTACGTGGAACAACCAGAAGGCTTCCAAGTACAGGGAAAAGAAGATAAGGTGTATCGTTTGAAGAAGGCTTTGTATGGCCTCAAGCAAGCACCACGAGCTTGGAACTCAAGGATTGACAACTACCTTCATCAAAATGGATTTCAGAAATGTCCATACGAGCATTCAGTTTACATGAAGAATGGTGCAAAAGGGGAGTTCTTAATTATTTGTCTCTATGTAGATGACTTGTTGTTTACAGGAAACAATGAAGCAATGTTCTGTGAGTTCAAGCAATCCATGTTCAGTGAATTCGAGATGACTGACAATGGATTAATGTCATACTTTCTTGGCATAGAAGTGAAGCAAGGAAGTGATGGTATCTACATTTCTCAACAAAAGTACATGAGAGATATATTGGAGAAATTCAATATGGACAAGTGCAATATTGTCAACACTCCAGTTACAACTGGATTGAAGCTGTCTAAGGAAGGAGAAGGTGAGTTTGTAAACTCAACCGTGTACAAAAGCTTGGTTGGAAGCCTAAGGTACCTTACAATCACAAGACCTGATATAGTTTATGGTGTTGGACTCGTGAGTCGATACATGGAAACACCAAGGGAGTCTCATTGGCTGGCCGCCAAGAGAATTTTGAGGTACATAAGAGGTACTCTAAACTATGGTCTGTTTTATAATTTTGGTGAAGATGCAAAATTATTTGGTTATTCAGATAGTGATTGGGGAGGTGACCAAGATGAAAGGAAAAGCACAACTGGCTATGTGTTTTTTCTAGGATCAACAGCTTTCTCATGGACTTCAAAGAAGCAATCAATTGTTGCTTTGTCATCGTGTGAAGCCGAGTACGTTGCTGTAGCCTCAACCGTGTGTGAGGCAATTTGGTTAAGAAATCTGTTGAAGTCAGTGTGTCATCCACAAGTGGAATCGACTGTGATTCATGTGGATAACATCTCAACTATCAAGCTTGCTAGGAATCCAGTCCAACATGGAAGGAGTAAGCACATCGATACCAGGTTCCATTTTTTGAGGGATCATGTGAAGCAAAAGACAATTGAGCTTGTCTATTGTCACACGAAGGAACAAGTGGCAGACATCTTCACTATGCCACTGCCAATTGAGCCATTCAAGTTGCTACGTGAAATGTTAGGGATAAAGGCGTTTTAATTTGAGGAGGTGTGTTGGAAAATCAAATAAAAACAGGTTGTTAATGGTTAAAACAAGCTGTCAGTTTCTTTCCAGGGTGTTTTTTCAACAACTACAAAGATCATTGCTTCCTCCATGTGTTAGCCGAAAGGAGATTGAAAGACAGCAGAGATGTGAGCTGCTGTGTGCAAGCCGAAAGGTGGTTATTACAACCTGCCATGATGCAATGCATGTGTATGCCAACTATCAAAGTTGCTGCATGTGTTTGAAAGGGTGTAAAGATGTGGAACACCATCATTCATTATATGTATTGTTGGATTGTTTATTTTTTCAGTTTTGTATAAATAGGCCATCTTGCTAAGCCTTAGTGCATCCCATCCAAAATCCCATTTCCCATTCATTTAATTTCAGCTTGTAAGCTTTAAGAGTTGTAAACTCTTCTAATATTTCAAAGTGTTTGTTATCACCAAGCTTGCTACTTCTTTCCTTTCTTTGTCCAATTTTATTGAGAGTGAAAGTGAGAGGTGTGATAGAGTTTGTAAACTTATCACCCACATATTTTGGTATTGAGTTAGCAAACTCTTGTGAATACCAACATATTCCACTCTCAAGCGTCGAAATTAGCATCACTACATGTACATGTCCAAAAACTCCTCCACCACCACCACCACCACCACCAACAACCTCAACAACTCCCACCTCGAAATAACCCTAACATTAATTCCCACATCAACATTATTAGCAAAGGACCTAGTCCTGGTCACGAAGCAGGTAATCATCAGGCAAACCCCTCTTCCTCTTCCCACAAAAATGCCGGAATATCACGCCCTGACCATCAGGCAGGTCACGATCACTATCATCATCAACATGCCCGGCCATTACATGTAGTACAGTTGCCACCCTCAAACCTCCATAGTGCTAATCTTATCTTGCACCAGCAGATTAACAATTGGCCTCACCATAATTACAACGCGTTTGTACCTTCAGCTCCACGCCCGCCTTCACGTACATATTATCCTCCTCCTCATCATCATCGAGCTGCTTCGGCCGATTCATTTAATCATTTTCATCATCATCACCATCGAGCTGATTCTGCTGATGCAATATATTATAGTACACACCAAGTGCTTTTTCCTCCTCCGGCTGCCTACCAAATTGTTCCACATCAGCAGCTACAGCTGCAGTATTATAATCATGCTTCCGGGGCAAGAAATCAATTGCAGCCGGTGTTGCATTATAACAATCATTTTGCTGAAACAGGAATACCCATCCAAAACATTGAATACGTACCAGTGCTGCTAACTCCGGCAGGCATTGACGGAACTTGGAAAACGGGGCTCTTTGAGTGCATGGAGGATCCCCCAAATGGTACTTCCTAGTCCCAAGTTAATTCATCCTCATTCTCTAGTTCATACTAATTGTTGAAGAATATAAATGACAAAATTAAATATAACTTATATTGAACTGTTCAACTTCTAATTACACAGACTTTTTGCGATAAAACTCCCACATATCTGTCATACCGAGCAGGTTTAAGACGAAATTAGTTGAGAGACAGGATCAGTATGATTACGAGTTGGCCATGGGGTCGTCTCTTTCAAATTTTGGCACTATTACTTCAAAAGTGCTAGCTACATTATGTGTTTTCTAGATATAAAATTACTCCCAACTTTCTTTTACAGTAATCTGCAGGAAATATTCATGAAATATTTCTTGTTTTGATTATCTCAGCTCTCATGACGTTATTGTGCCCATGCTGGGTGTTCGGTCAGATTGCAAAGATTGTTGATAATGGTCGAAGCTGTAAGTCGACTGAATCAATGTTCAAGTTTCGTAATTAGCAATTCTAACATCCAAAATACTCATCTGATTAATGGCTGGTGCGGTGTTTATGTTGGTCATTCATACAGCTTGTGCAACCAATACACTGATTTACATGTTAGTCATGTTGTGCATCTTCGTGCCTTGCTTGCTATCTTGCACATACCGGAAAAAGCTAAGGAACAAGTTCGATCTGCCCGAAAGCCCCGCTCCGGATTGCATCAGTCACTTCTTATGCGAGTGGTGTGCTCTTTGCCAAGAACATAGGGAGCTCCAGCTCAGAGGCCTAGACCCTTCTTTGGGTACGAGACTTCAATATATATTTTTTATTGACAAAGCAGTTTTAAACTTCTCTAATCTACAAGATCGAAATGAGGCTCTAAAAGCAAACGCATTGAAATCATGGGTTTCGTATCTGAAAATTTTCAACTGTGTATGTTGTAGGATGGGTAGGAAACATGGAGCAAATTCAGAGGATGCAGCAAAAGCGGCAAGCTGCTATGAATCCACCAGCTACCCAAAGAATGACGGGTTATTGAACAAAACACGAAGTATAGCAACTTCAGTCATGACATGCTCGCCGTGATTTTTGATCCACCGATGAAGAAGCTTCGGTTTTCCGTTCATGGTGTAGGGATGGATCATCCGTGTATATACCATTCGATGTGAACGAAAATTTTGGGATAAATTTCACACATACAATACCACAATTCAATATCCGGTAAAATCACCAAGACATCGTAATTTGGTGCCGAAAATGCAACGTAAAAATACCAAACCAAGCAAACTTGAAAACACACACCATCGAGCAAGAAATACTGTTTCGTATAATAATACAAAAACGGGGCAACAACAAAACACCCCCAACTTCTCTTCGTTTGTATTTATAGCTTGAACACGTTACATCTCAGAATATACGTAGGTAGGTACAATGTATAGTAACTGCAAGAGAAAACAAAACCTATGCCATTCAATATTCAGCGGAAATACACAAATGCACAAAGAACTTAGATGTTTATGGTGGCTTCCCAAAGCCTAAGAAGTCCATTACGACCGCCACTGCATATCCTTTTCCTCTCGAGGTCCGTTGCAATACATCTTACCTGGATAGCACAAGGAAATGGAGTAAAACTGGGGAATCAAATAGCCATTAACAATAAATCATCGAGATCTCTGCGTAAACATTTATGACGATATGGAGCATAAACAATGGTAAAGCAGAAAAACAACAGAATGCTCGCTTGTAGGAATAAAATGACCAGTGCGGGAAAAGTCACGACTTCATACCACAGCAACTGTTCTTTGTGGTGTTCTATATAGTTGCCACCCGGCCATTTTTGATCCCGTGCTAGAGGAGCTACCGAGTCTCTCTTGAGGCCGATGAAAGAGAGACATGGAATTATCAGCTGCTCCAATTCCCAACCAGTGTTCTGCAGCATTGATGGACAATACAGCAGCAGTGTGGACAGTAACATTTTTTACGCATCTTATACCTCCTGCATGCAACCAACAGTAACATTGAAAAAGGCTTCACTTTTAATTGGAATATGCATCTCTGACGGTAATTCAAGGGGAAACTTAATCACTTCCATGAACCCTGACATAATTATGTGATAATTACACGATCTTGTAGAAAACAACCCACACCATTTTGTATTCTCTTGACTTTTCAATAGCGTCTCCATTTCTTACCCAAAAGAGAAAGAAAACACAGCAATAATATGGTCGACAATGAAAGAATGAAGAAAATTGTGCTCTTACCCTCGACATTTTCCCAAAAGCGGAGTAGCCCATCAGTTGAACCTGAAACAGAAATCACATGGTATAATTCCACTAGTTCCTATTGGCACGTGTAAAAGATTTGCAACCAAAAATCTTTGAAGCAATCTATGGAAATAACAATGCAAACAGAATAGGATATACAGTGTCAACCTGTAATTATTCCTTTGTCAAGTGTGGAATACTCAACGCTTAATATGGGGCCAGCATGGCATGCTAGAACAGCATCACAAGTTCCTCGGGAAACAGACCACATCCTTGCAGTCCAGTCATCACTACCAGTAACAACTGTGTCCCCCACCATTCTAATCGACCTGCAAGATTGACGTATAAATTACATGTCTACTTAAGAATCATCAATAAAAACATAAAATTTGGAAAAGCTACGCTCCTTTAGCTTACCGAATCCATTTCGTGTGCCCTACAAGCTTGTGCATTGGCTTGCCAGTACGAATGTCCCAGATGTTTGCAACGCTGATAATGCAGGAACGCAGAGAATTAATTTCTAGGAATTTGTTGAATAAACATTTTAATTCATAATTTTATGGGCATGCTTAATCATCAGTTTCATTATACATACACATCTCTACCACCAGCTGCTAAAATTCCTGTGGAATCATCATATTCCATACATAGAACAGCACTAGAGCAACGACCAACGGTTGCCACGCAAGTGTCAGTTCTGACATCCCACATCTTTACAGTTCCATCATGAGCCGCAGTAAGTACACGTTCACCAGACAGCATGCGTGCACAGCTAACCTACAAGGATGGACGGTTGGAATAGAGTTCAATATGCAATATACATTAAGGACGAGATATTAAGTTCGAAATATTGGTCACTTTTCATGACCATCGCATCATAATGTAACAACTGAGTTGATTTTTCATGCTCCGAAAAGTAGTCAATATACAAAGTGAGTAAGCTCACTGGTGCATCATGGCCTTTCAACTCTTCTAGAAGCTGAGTAGTTTGCTTATCCCATACTAAAACAGTTTGATCATCCGAACCTGATACTACTTTTCCTCGATCAGAACTTATTGCACGGACAGCTCTGTAACAAGGCCCAGAAGGACATGAGAGGAAGGACAGTAAACTAAGTTGAATTAGTCATGCTTAAGTTGGATCATGTGTGGGCATGCAAGAAAAGCCAACCAAATTTAAAAAAAAATTAGTAACACTAAAATTTAGTTTAAAAGTTCAATAATAGAATAGTAAACTAGTAAATGCAACCAAAAAAGAACATGATGATAGCAAGAACAAAAAAACAGTAGAAAACAAACAAAACCTTGTATGTCCTTTCAAGGTTGCCCGAAGTTCATTACCACGAAAACTAGGATCCCAGATCTTAACCTGAAAGATTGCTGAAAAGAATTACTATTACCCCTTTACAGGATAGATTTTGTGCAATGAATTGTATGGTAGATATGCAAAGCTTACAGTGGAGTCTGTGCTTCCACTGATGAAGAAACCGGCATCTTCCCGGTCACCCACAAGATCCCAAACCTCTCTCTTCGTTACACAATGTAAAGCAGTGACGGAACCACTATGACCTCTAAGTAAGCGAACATTGGTTTGAGTTTTCTTCTGGCCAGTGGCTGACAAATCTTGCTTACGAGGAGTTCCATGTTCATTTGCAGCTTAATGACAAGAAACTACGGTGAGTACATGCAGATAATCAAACATCACATGCAAGCACATAATCTTAGCAACAGACGTACCTGAAGAGCCACCATCAGAAGTCCATTTACGAACACGACTTAAAGAGGTGGTTCTGGATGCAGTATCCCTGCTGAACATGCTCTGAACCCAGCTCCTTCCAACACCAGAAGCTTCAGCAGGCTGCTGATTCTCAACTGTAGCATCTTTTGAACGTGGAGATGCTAATCCATGAGACAACATAGATTGACCCTTGAAATTTGTGATTCCCCAATAACCAATGAGTAGGTGCTCGATATGCGACAAGAACCCTCTCAGCTTTATCTGAAAAATACATAACCATGGAACACCATCACCAATGGATCGAAAAACCAAAGAAAACTTCAGTTGCATGCATCCAAGTGTAAAAAGGGAGGGTGCCAATAAATTTGAACGCGGCTCCTCATGGATCTCAACAGTGCATCAGAATGGCCATTAGTCACTAGACTAATGAGTAGAAGTAGATGATGACAAGTTTGAACCCAAAACAGCACTACAAGATCAAGGGCATTCCTAGCCACCCCAAAAAAGTAATAAGGTATGTTTCAAGTTCTTTTTGAAACAATTTTGTGAGCATAGGTTATCGGTTTTCAGAATTTGAGAGCGAAACCAATAACCTGCATCACTGAAGACAGAACCAACACAGATAACCTAATATCATCTAGCCAACAGCGAGCACCTAATCTTAAGGAAATTATAATCTCATACAGAAAAATAGACAAGGATAACACAGCAATATTAATTAGAACTGCATAAACTGAAATAGAGAAAAAAATTACTTACAAATTGTGTGTATCCAATATTGTTCTTCTCTGCTATCGTTTCAATCATGTACCAAGCATCAGTATCAGGAATTCCCAACCCAGCCTTCATGTTGACATAAAACAAGCTCGTAAACAAACTAATGAGTTGACAAGTACCAGAAAAAGTATAAGATAAAGAAGAAACAGCACCATGTGTGATTCCACAAAAATTAAGTGCGCAGCCACCAAAGAGGCATAGTTAGCCGACCTGATGTAACAACAAAAAACAAACATTACTTTGCAAAAGATTACATCTGACATGCTGCAACATAAGTTCATTATTTCTAGTGTACCAAGTAGAACATCAAAAACTATATGCTACTTTGAAGTTTGTTTACTAGCTTCTGTCTAAGCTTACTATTTAAATCCGAAGTACAAGCCTTGTATATTTAAATTCATCAGACAGTAAATTCAAAATTAGGGATTAGGTTGATTTATCTACCAAGTAAAAAAGAAGATAAATGCCTGGAATTCTTACTTGTTTGAAGACCGTTCCATTAGATAGTCAAAGTATCCTTCCCAAAAGCTGCAAAATAAAAAAAAGACACAGTGAACCAACAATTCACTTGTAAAACTACTAGGTAGGACAATGTAACTAGGTACGACAGATGTAGAAATAAGTCAGTTTTAACATAAAGAAATAGAAACTTGAGTGCTATAAAGAACCTAAACAAGATAAGAAAACCACTATGTAGCGGAAAAGAATATGAACTACAATACAAATCTCAAAAATCTAATAGAGTTACTTAAGGCAGCCTATAAATAAGAGTAAGCAATGCTTGTCAAGTACTGCAAGTAAGTTACTATCACTAATGGCGTTCTCGTCATCTGGTTTATTTGTTACTTTTGAATATCCACATTGTCATGATGTAAGTTTAAATTACAGTTTTACAGCTCTGAGCTTCAAGGAAGACCGGAAACGTAAGGCTTTATAACACTTTGCAGTGGTCTAGATTTACGGTTACTTCCATTACTGAACATAAACTCAGTTAAAAATTTCACAGAATATGGGAAAGCATATAAGTGTGATAGACCAATGAGAAGAACCAATAACAACTTTTTGCAAGGGAAAAATGAACATCAGAATAATTTATGCTCGAAATTGAGGGGCAAATGACTTGTAACCACATACCGTAATTCCTCCCAGATGGACAAAGATATAAGATGACGCTCAATGTAGTCTGAAACATTATGTGCATCCTTCTTATACATGTCAGCGGATACTTCAAGGGCATCCCTGATTGTCAACATATCATTTCGGGAAGTTGCACGACTAATAGCTGTTTTGAGCTGAATTCAAATACAAGTTATTGTTGAAGAAGATAAATTTAAAAAACAGATTATCACAAAATTCATCTTCTGTATAAAGGTTATTAGCCTAATGACAACAGTG